AGTCGACATGGATGCGTGAGGAGAGCGTTCAGCAGGTGTGCAAATCTGAGCACATCAGTCTAAAAGTGTGTGGCAGAGCTCTGTGTGTCATCCTGACTGGACGTCTCTCTGTGGAGACGACTGCAGCAACATGTTTACAGTCAGCAACTCTCACCATCGTGCTTTCTATTTTTGCCCCGCCCCCCAAAAAAGCCACAAACGATACTGAGGCTGACACAGTCTATGAGGTTTAGTATTAAATATTTAATACTTACTTTGTTACTATAATACTACAGTTTCTGTCACAGTTAATTTTACCTGTTATAGAGTGAAATCATCTTTGATCAAACACTGAAGCGTTGGACACGAGCGAGCTGGGAGCAGCCTGGCTCTGCTCCACACTTTAACTGTAACAGCTCACATTTAAATTCACATATTCACAAAGAGTCGAGCACCTGTGTCAGACTGAGCCAATCCAATCGCACACCTGTCTGTTCACACGACAAAACCTGAGATATGTCACACAAACCCACAAATCAAACAATGAAAGCAGCAGGAGGATGGGGAGCTCACAGCTCTCAGAGGACAGAGGCGCCAATAAAAAAGCTTATCAGGTGACAAACAGACAACGACTGCACTCCTCAGGTAGGTGTGTGGAGCCTGAAACGAAGGCAGAGCTGTATTTACAAAGTGAACTAAGTTTGAATCATCAAGAGTGAGTGAAAGACGGAGCGGAGCGTCCTGGAGCAAAGCGATGCCACTTCAACTGGAGCTGAACGAAAGGATGAAGAGCTGTGAGACTTTGCTGAAAACGTCACTTAAACATGTGATCAGCGTTATAAAGATGGAGGACATCCTCACCTCTCTGACCACACACCTCTGAAAGCAGTTCCCAGACATGTTTCGCTAAACTTCAGCGTTCAGCCAACATGCGCACGCAGCGCACGCAGCGCGCTGAACCTGACCATGAGCAGATCCTACAGGACGCAAAACCTCACAGCGACTTTACTTCAGCCCTCAGCTTTGTCCTTAGAAACTCTAATAAATCAGAAATGATTTCTCCCACTGAGCCTCTCAGTCTTTACCAGCTTCACTTCACTTTGGTTTTTGAAAGGTGACAAAAAGCTGATTCTGGATTTTTTTTTTTCTGCGTGCTCCTCTTTTTAGAAAGAAACTTTAACACATCATCATCATCATCCTCTGGATATGACACTCACATAAACTTTGTTGTATTTTTCCTCCAAGTACACCAGTGACCCTTTCAGAGGCAGCGCGGCCGTGGAGTCGGAGCCGGGTGGCAGCTGCAGGTCTCCGGCTGCTTCTCCAAACTCAAACAGCTCCTCCAGCTTCAGAGCCCGAGTCACAGCACCCAGACCCGCCAAGGACCAGCAGAGCCACCAGCAGAGTCGGGACACGGCCTTCATCTCCATCTTCACCTGAGGATTCCCACCGACCTACGAGCTGAGCGCAGCGGCGGAGTGAGGACGGGCGCACGGATGGATGGATGGAGAGCGATGGGAGTGACGACCGCACAACTTCCGGTGACTTTTTCAAAATAACGTGAAGTAAAGTTAGAACTTAGAACTTTTTAAAAGATAATTGTTTAAAACACTGAGTGAGGGACAGCTTTAGAAATGTGCGCCATGCTTTTTTGCTTTTAGCCTTTACACGTGACGTGTTGTCTAAGTTGGACTCGTGTCTGTAAAATATAAGTTTGTTACACAGTGCTGCGTCGGTCCCATGCGTCACTGCCATCTACTGAGCGCAGTCTGTAACTTCATAC